TTTCCGATTCTGTGTCTCCCTCTCACTCTGCCCCTTCCCCGTTCATGCTCCTCTCTGTCCCAAAAATAAATAAACGTTGAAAAAAAAAAAAAAAAGATAAAGACAAACACAAATTGAGGGAATTTGTTGCCAGTAGACCTGCCTTGCAAGAAATGTTAGAAGTTCTTTAGAGAGAAGTAAAATGATATGAGTCAGAAACTCAAATCTGCATAAAGAGAGGATGATCATCAGAAAAGGAATACGTGAAGGTAAAATAAAAACTTCTACTTTTACTTTTTTAACTTTATTTTGAGAGAGAGAGAGAGTATAAAGCGGGGGAGTGAGAGAGAGAGAGAGACAGAGACAGAGAGAGAAAATCCCAAGCAGGCTCTGCACTGCAGGCACAGAGCCCAACATGGGGCTCAAACTCATGAACTGTTAGATCATGACCCGAGCTGAAATCAAGAGTTGGACACTTAACCAACTGAGCCATCCAGGCGCCCTATTTTTATTTTTAATTGATCTATCAGAAAAATCTGTTCAAATAATGACAACAATATATTTGACTATGTATGCCTTTGTATATATGGATTGCTATAGACAGAATGTGTCCTTCCCAAATTCATGTGTGGAAATCCTAACCCCTCAATGTGATGGTATTACAAGGTATTACAAGAGCCTTTGGGAGGTGGTTAGGTCATGAGGGTAGAGGCCTCCCGAATGGTATTAGTACCCTTATAAAAGAGACCCTAGAGTGCTCCTTTGTTCCTTGTTCCACGTGATGACACAGTGAAAAGATGCTGTCTACGAATCAGGAAATGGGCCTTCATCAGACAGCATATCTGCTGATGCCTTGATCTTAGACTTTAAAGCTTCTGGAACTGTGGGAAATACATTTCTGTTGTTTATAAGCCACCCAATATATGGTATTATGGTATATAGTCCCTTGAATGGACTAAGACATATGTGCTTATGTATAAGTGAAATTAATGACAGAAATGATACAAGGGACTGGCAGGAGAAATTAGGAGTTTTTTTTGTACTTGTACAACCCATGAAGTAGTATATTGTTATTTGAAAATGGATGTGGATTAATTGTAAATGTATATTGCAAACTCTAGGGAAACCACTAAAAAGTGTTTATAAAGAAGGGTGCAGGGGTGCCTGAGTGGCTCAGTTGGTTGTTTCTGACTCTTGGTCTTGGCTCAGGTCATGATCTCATGGTTTGTGGGATCAAGCCCTGCATTATACTCCACGTTGACAGCAAGGAGCCTGCTTGGGATTCTCTCTCTCTCTCCCTCTCTCTCTCTCAAAATAAATAAACTTAAAGGAAAAAAGTGTACGGGCTCCTGGCTGGCTCAGTTGGTAGAGCATGTGACTCTTAATCTCAGGGTTGTGAGTTTGAGCATAGGTTGGGTGCAGAGGTTACTTTAAAATCTTAAAGATTTTAACCGACTAAACTAAGAAAAGAGAGAAAATGGAATCATATAAAATGGTTAATTAAAATCACAAAATACAGGGGCACCTGGGTGGCTCAGTCAGTAGAGCGTGTGTGGGGAATAAGGTTAGGAATTCCCTGAATTTGCACCGATGGGTTAACAAGACATAAAGAAATAGAAAGCCACAGGATGAACACATCCAAGACTAGGCAAACAAGATTAGGTAAACAGGGCAAAGGCCCCCAGTATAGGACAAAGGTATAGGAAATAGGAAATCTCAGGATGAAAACATCCAAGATTAGGTAAAACAAGATTAGGTAAACAGGGCAAAGGCCCCCAGTATAGGACAAAGGTATAGGAATAGGAAATCTCAGGATGAAAACATCCAAGATTAGTAAACAAGATTAGGTATTCAGGGCAGAAACACCCCCCAATTTAGTACAATAGCAGAAAGCTTCTTTCACTGGAAGGAAGGACAAAAACAGGTAAACAGGGCTATAGACTGCAGCAGGAGGAAGTTGCCTGGAGAGGAGCTAATTAGCAAAAGAAAGGTGTCTTGTTGGCCCTGAGGTAGCATACGCTGTCTTTCTTGTCCCCTAGACCAGTTTAGGTAAACAGAGGTGGTGCCTCATGTCTGCTGTAAACAACCTTCTGCCCAGGATTTAGTTTTGTATTGACCCAAACCCCTAACACCGCATATCTTCAAAACCCCCTTTCCCTCACACCCACAAGTTAATGTTCATGGTTTCATTGTCTCTTTGTGCACGTCCATCATGCTTGTAAGCCTTCTGATCCTAATAAAAACGGAGCAAGGACTCTTACTTGGGACTCTTATCTCCTCTTGGACATTATCGTCTCTTGCATTTCAATCCTGCATCCGCTCCCTTGCTGGACAAGAGAGAACTCCAGACCCAGAGACTACGAGAAGCATGCAACTCTTGATTTTGGGATTGTAAATTCAAGTCCCATCTTGGGTGTAGAGATTACTTAGAAATAAAATCTTAAGGCACGCCTGGGTGGCTCAGTTGGTTAAGCATCCAATTTCAGCTCAGGTCATGATCTCACGTTCATGAGTTTGAGCCCCGCATCAGGTCTTGTGCTGACAGCCCAGAGCCTAGAGCCTGCTTCGAATTCTGTGTCTTCCTCTCTCTCTGCCCCTCCCCTGCTTGTGCTCTGTCTGTCTGTCTCTCAAAAATAAACATTAAAATAAAATCTTTAAAAAACAGACCCACAAAAGACAGAAAAATAATAGAAGACAAAAATAGGAACAAAGAACAAGGGCAACAAATAGAAAACAGTAATATATATGGTAGATATGAATCCAACTATATAAACAATAATTTTGAATGTCAATGCTCTACATGCACCAATTAAAACAGAGATTGTCAGACTGGATCAAGAAACAAGACCCAACTAAATGTTGTCTACCTGGAACCTACTTTATATATAAAGACACATAAAGATTAAAAGTAAATGGATGGAGAAATATATCATTCTAACATTAATCAAAACAACATAGGAGTAGCTATATTAATTCATACAGAGCCAACTTCAGACCAAGGAAATTTATCAGGGATAAAGAGGGGCATTACATATTGATAAGGTGGTCAATTCTCCTAGAAGACATACTAATCATTAACATGTATGTGTCTAACAACAGAGCACCAAAATACATGAGGCAAAAACTGATAGAACCTCAAGGAGAAATAGATGAATCCACTAACATAGTTGGAGACTTCAACATCTCTCTATCAGAAATGGAGCGATCAAGCAGGTAGAAAATCAGTAAGGACATGGTTGAACTCAACAATCCCATCAGTCAACTGGACATAAGGGACATCTATAAACTACTTCATATAACAACAGAACATACATTCTTCTCAAGCTCACATGGAACATTCATCAAGAGAGACCACATTTGGGGACAAAAAACACTTTATCAAATTTAAAAGAATAGAAATCAGTGTCTGCTCTCAGACCACAATGAAACTAGAAACCAATAAACAGACAGTTAGAAAATTCCAAAATACTCAGATATTAAAGAACACCCTTTTTTTTTTTTTTTTTTAATTTTTGGTGTTTATTTCTGAGAGAAAGAGAGAGAGAGTGCACAAGTGGGGGAGAGACAGAGAGAGAGGGAACACAGAATCCAAAACAGGCTCCAGGCTCTAAGCTGTCAGCACAGAACCCGACACAGGTCTTGAACCCATGAACCATGAGATCATGACCTGAGCCGAAGTCAGACACTGAGCCAACTGAGCCGCCCAGGTGCCCCTAAAAAACACCCTTCTAAATATCACACAGGGCAAGTAAAACTCTCAAAAGAAATTTAAAAATATTTTGAACTAAATGAAAACACAATTTGTCAAAAGTTGTGGGATACAGTGAAAGCAGTGCTTAGACGGAAATTTATAGCATGAAATGCATATGTTAGAAAATAAGAAAGATTTAAAATCAATCATCTAAGTTTCCATGCTAGGAAACTAGAAAAAAAGAGCTAATTAAATTCAAAGTAGGCAGAAAAAAGAAATAATACAAATTAGAACAAAAAAGCCAATGAAATTGAGAATAGGAAATCAATTGAGAAAATTAATGAAACCAAAAGCTGGTTCTTTGAAAAGATCAATGAAATTGATAAGCCTCAAGCCTGGCTAACTAATTAAAAAGAGAGGAGACAGATTATTAATATCAGGAATGAAAGAGGGGAACTTCCTCAACTTGATAAAGACTATCTACAAAAATTCTACTGTTAACATCTTGTTTATGGTGAGAAACTTGAAGCTTTCTCGCTAAGATCAGAAATAAGGTAAGAATGTCCCCCTTCACCACAGCTTTTTAACATTACACTGGAAGTCCTAGCTAATGCAAATAAAGAAGAAAGGGAAATAAAACTGTTTGTTCTCAGATAACATGATCATCTATGTGGAAAATAGCATGTACAAACAAACAAAAACTCCTGGAACTAATTAGCAATTATAGCAGGGATGCAGGGTAAAAGTTAATGCACAAAAAGCAATTGCTTTCCTATATACCAGCAATGAACAAATAGGATTTGAAATTTAAAACACAATACTATTAATATTTTATTTTTTATTTGTTTTTTATACCATTACTATTTTAAATAATTCAAGCTTTATTTTTTCTTTTTAAATTTTTATTCAAATGCTAGTTAGTTAACATACAGTGCAATATTGGTTTCAGGAGTAGAATTCAGTGATTCATCACTTATATACAACACCCAGTGCTCATTATAACAAAGCACAATACTATTTATATTAGCATTCCCAAAATGAAAAGTTTAGGTATTAATGTAACAAAACACATACAAGATCTATATGAGGAAAACTACAAAAACTCTGATGAAAGAAATCAAAGAAGAACTAAATGGAAAGATGTTCCATATTCATGGAAAGGAAGACTCAACATTGTCTAGATATCAGTTCTTTCCAGCTTCCTCTATAGATTCAATGCAATATCAATCAAAATCCTACCTAGTTATTGTGTGGATATTGGCAAACTGATTCTAAAGTTTATATGGAGGAGCTTTTGGTGGCAGGGTCTGGGGAAGGGCTGTCAGGTGCCATGTCTGACCATGAAGGTGGCAGGAAGGAGCCCCTGAAGCAGCCCATGAAGCAGGCCAAGGACATAGATGAGGAAGATAAGGCACTCAAGCAGAAACAGAAAGGGGAGCAGAAGAAACTCAAGGAGCTAAAAGCAAAGGCTATGGGGATGGGCCTCCTGGCCACAGGTGGAATTAAGAAATCTGACAAAAAGTAAGCTGTTTTTTTATGCCTGAGACAATGTGATCCTTTTTTTTTTTTTTTTTTTTTTTTTT